TTGCGTGTCAGTATATTATATGTGTTCATCTTATCCCCCCCCCCCCTCCATTTCTTTTTTTGTGAACTGTAAAAGACCTATCCCCCACCTTTCTCACATATTGAAATGAATGCCAATTCGGCTTTAATTTGTACATTCTACATAAACTGACCTTGACATTTACATAACAAGACACTCTTCTTAAAGTAAAGAAAATGATAAGGCTTAATTCTTTCTAGAAAATAATGATAATTTACAAGTCTATATTCAAGACCCACCCCCCCTCCCGGAAGCGCACAGACAGGTAGACTTTGCAGATATAACATCTACAACATACAAGTTACGTCTTAAAAGTTTCATTCATAAAAATCAGTTCCCCTGATGTCATCTGATAACTTGCCATCATTCATTCTTCCTATGTTTTGTATGTAGAATTTATAATTATTTAATTTATTTTTTTTTATCTTGAGAAAATAAAGATTTTCAGCTGCATTTATTAGCATTTCGCGTTTTCTTGTATATATCTATTACTTGCAAATGAATAATGTCATTAAATAATACAGAAGAAATCAAACTTTATTTCCATCTTTTTTTATTCATTCATAAATCTTTGGATCCGCTCCAATAGCTGCGCGATGCCCTCACCGCTACAGTAAACAAAACATTCATAACGCCGAAAATGTCCATGATTCCGCTGAACTAAGAAAGTTTACACATGGTTTATCATCTCATAAAAAAACACCAGCCCTATCCAATGCAGGAATGCTCGAGATAAAGAGGAAAATTCAGGAATTATTTTGCGTCAGCCATTTTCTGACGTGAACCTTTGCGACAATTTGTAATTAAGGTCTTCCGTCTTCACGGAAGACCTTATAGTGATTCTACTGTTTCTTATTATTATTAAGGTCTTCCGTTTCAGACGGAAGACCTTATAGTGATTCTACTGTTTCTTTTTATTATTATTAAGGTCTTCCGTTTCAGACGGAAGACCTTATAGTGATTCTACTGTTTCTTTTTATTATTATTATTTTTTTCCCCTTTTCTTTTTTTGACGATTTCTCAGAGATGACTGGACGGATTCTCATGAAATTTTCAGAGATGATAGAGAGTCAAAATATCTTTCAAATACAGTTTTTCAAAATTTACTTCCGGTCGTCAGATATGTCCGATTTCCGCTTTTTAAAAAAAAAATTTGTCCCAGTCATATCTCAGAAACGGTAAGAGATGAAGACACCAAACTTATATGAGTAATAGATCATGATAAGTAGGCAAAACCATTTGGGTTAACACAGTTCGCCGTCGTCACTTCCGGTCGTCACAGGAAGTGATCAAAGAAATCAAAAATTTCATCTTTTCTTTTTTGAAACTTTTTTTGCAGAACAAAATAGTATTTTATTTGTAGTTTCGAAATATGTCAGTCCCACAGGAAACAAAAAACGACAACTTCCGGTTATAAGAGAAAAACTGGATATTTTCAGTATTTTTCTTTCCCATAAATATTTTTTATAGATAAAGTATTTGTAATGATTTTTGGATATGTTATTCAGAATGCAAATGACTACAGTATTGTCAAATATCTTTGTAGAATTCACTTCCGGTCGCGTGACTTCCTGTCCTCAAAATGAGAAGTTATCATAGCTAGATCTCGTAAACAGTAAAAGATTAAGACACCAAACTTATATGAGTAATAGATCTTGATTAGTAGGCAAAACCATTTGGGGTAAGATTGTCTGCCGTCACTTCCGGTCGTCGTAGGAAGTGATCAAAGAAATCGAAAAAATCAACTTTTCTTTTTTGAAACTTGTTTTGCATCACATTATAGCATCTTATTTGAAATTTCGAAATGTATCAGTCCCAACGGAAACAAAAATGACAACTTCCGGTTAAAAGAGAAAAACTACATAATTTGAGTATCTTTCTTTCCCTTAAAATTTTGTATAGTTAAAGTATTTGTAATGATTTTTAGATATGTTATTCAGACTGCAAATGTCTACAGTAAAGTCTAATATCTCAGTAAAATTCACTTCCGGTCGCGTGACTTCCTGTCCTCAAAATCAGAAGTTGTCATAGCTAGATCTCGTTAACGATAAGAGGTTAAGACACCAAATTAATAGCGATGGTAGACCTTGATGAGTAGACATATCCTTTGAGTTTCCGGTTGTCACAGGAAGTTATCAAATGAATCAAAATTTTAAACTTTTCTTTATGGAATCTTTCTTAGTATTACCTTATAGTATCTTACTTGTAGTTTCGAGATATGTAGTCCCACTGGAAACAAAAACGACGACTTCCAATTATGAGAGAAAAATTGCATAAATTGAGTATCGTACTATCCCATAAATATCTTTTATTAAAAAAAAAGCATTTGAAATGATTTTGGGACATTTTATTCAGACTGCAAATGTCTAGATTAACCTCAAATATCTTCTTTTAAAATTTACTTTCTTCAGGTCACCCCCCTCTCTCTCTCTCTCTCTCTCTCTCTCTCTCTCTCTCTCTCTCTCTCTCTATCTCTCTCTCTCTCTCTGATGACCTTGACCTTTGACCTTGATAAATGACCTTGTCCTTTGACCCCATTGACCCAAAGGTCACAATCAAGCTTAAGTATGTGGAGGTATTAACAACTCTCATTTTAACAAATGCTCATACCCCCCCCCCCCCTCCCGTCCCTTAAAAAAATTCAACAGCAACATAGAAAAAACTTCTACCTCTAAAAAGACACCACAGATGGACATAAGATTAAGGATTTGAGTAGAAGACACCTTAAAGAAAGTGTCCTAAGAGTTTTACGGTGAGTCTCTTGAGTATAATGAAATTCTACGGATTATCGGCAAAAACTGCATTTTTTTCTGTCTGAAATTTAAATTCTGATGGGCATAAAATGAATTAAAGCTTGTATTGGCTATTTCTTCATTTGTTGTTAATATCATTCGATTCTCCTGCTCTAATACTACATTTTAATACCAAGTATTCTAGCTTTCTTTGGTATGTGGAATTTATTTCAATTTTATCTAGATTTAATATTAATTGAATGAATCTTGATTTCATTTAAAATTTGATTTTTTTTCTAGAATAACACAATCTTATAAGAAATAGCGACTTTCAGCATAATAAAAAGCAATACACGTTTCTTCCCTGTGTTTTCCATCTAGAAATACATGTTTGAAATTTTATTTATGCAACTTACAATGAATTTAATCCACACGCATATTCCATACCTATTTCGGTCAGGAATGTTTAAATCCGAACCCGATTCTCTGTTTTCCTTTTCTATAATTACAGACTGCCTTGCATCTCTCGCTCATGTTTCTCACATGCTCTTAAATAATTTATCGCCATTCATTTCAAACATAAAACAACTCAAATCGGATTTTTTCAAACATCTTTTTAATACATGTATAATGCACATATGATGCAGGTACAGATGGGACATTTCACAACGTTTTCACTTACGCTTCCGTCTTGATGCGCAGATCAAATGCATGTTATTCATATTAAAAGGTATATCATAATTTTAATCAGACCCTACCCCTTACAACTTAACTTGAAAACAATCTAATTCAACTCATATGTACATAGAGGAGCGTGTTACAATGTTTTTAATGTGCTCTCTTTGCGTGATCAATGAATTCGTGCTTATCCCCGAGTCGACTACAAACAATCCAGGAAGTCTGTTTAGGGTAAAATTATACCAACTGCGAGCCCGATCTAAAATCCTAGTAGAAAAATGAGAATTTTGCTGGGTTTTTTTTCATTTTCTTGCTTTTTTCCTACTTTTTTCAGCCCAAATGATATTGAAATGCTTAAAAAGGTGGTAAGGCCGATTACTGTTCACTGAACAATTTAGTTTACTAGTTTTTTTTTTTATTTTTTGCATTTTGTCTATTATTTCTTTATTATACATCTGTCTTTTTTTAAATAGAAAAAAACATCCTGCATACAGATTAATAGAGGAGAACGGAAGACCTTCTTTGTTGCTGTAGCAACAAGAGTTTCTAGTTTTATTTACCATTCATCACATTAACAGAATATTTTTAACATTTTCTGTAGTTAATGTAAAATTGACAATAGATTGCCTGCAATTTATTTCTTTCGTTCTCTCCCTTCTCTTTACTACTTGTATGTGAGATTGAAACAGCGGACCCCCCCCCAAATCAATATACTTAAGCTAAATGTGAGAGAAATGGTGATGGGAAGCGTAAGAATTTCATAATCAATGATCACGTTACTGTAACTAATTAACTATTAAAATAGGACATTTACAAAGTCTCTGAAGTTGAACTCTTTCAAATTAGTTAATTAAATGTAAAGAATGGATGAACTTTCTATTAATTTATGGTCTAGCTTGTCCTTCATTCATTTTCTAAAACCCAAAGTAAGTCCAAACCCAGGAAGATGCTTTATTACCTGGGTATAGATACTGTAAACCAACTATTTTTCATGATTCGTTAGTTTTTAATCAATCCGCGACGTTTAATTTTCATGAATAAGGAAACATTTTCTACTAAAAACAAAGCAAAATAAATGCTTAGCGGCAATTAATATTCGCAACTTAAAGTAGGTGGCGAAACTCACGAATAAATGTTGGTTTACAGTACCTTTGTTAGTCTGCATCATTATGTACTCCTACAAGTAAGAGCCTCCCTACGCTCCTTATATACTTCAGATAATGTCAAAAGTATCTCGCCGTGAACCTCTAGCATGCTGGAGTACATCATTATGATACACACATCAGTAAAGAGATAAGTTTCAGCTGGAATATTAGGCTTAAAACTATTATGCTTGTAAAATAAAATAAACAATCAAAGTAAAATTCTTGGATTATACCAGGAATTGACTGGTTTTCAATTATAATCAATGATTGCAACACCACTAAAGAAAAATGTAATTGTGTGAAGGAAAGTAGTTAGCTTATTTGATAATTATTATTATTGATACTTTTTGTCATATTTTTGTTTTGAGTGCATGGTACTACACTGTATTGAGCTGCTATTTTGTAAAATTGATGTTTATAATTGTAGGCAGGATCCAGAAACAAAGGAAGCAGCAAAACCAGATGGAGAAGGTAACATAATTAACACATTAATTACATTTTAGTTAAGGTACCTGGCCCCTTTATATAAGGACTTACTTTTCTAACCTAAAATATGTAACTTATATAAAATAGCAATACATGTACTCTGAAATAAATTCAAAAGATTATAGAGTAGAGGGGCTGCATGAATTTTCCAAGTGAAAATATAAATGAAGATTGCATTGAGATCTATGTTTTGATATGGTTTGATATTTGAGGGGAATTGATTTTGGAACAAGTTAGCGAAGATTTGATTTAGAGCAATTACTTATGTTCCTATTTGTATTTATATGTCCAAGACATTTAGAGTGGTACTTGAATTAGCAGGAGCGGCTTTCTGCAAAAGGCGCTTAAAAAATACACAGCTAAATGTAATATGTCCATTTAACAAATATGTTCCTTATGTCAGATTTAGGGGTTTAGTTCAGCAGATTTTTTGTGTATTTTCTTGAGAAGTATTAATATTTCTGAAACTTCATAAATAAAGTTTTATTTTTGGAATGAAATATGGGTCTTTATAAAAATTCTTTGCTGAAGGCACTCATAAAAACACCTGTTTTCTTCAAAATTAAAAAGCTTTACAATTTTTTATAAAGCCTGTTTTTCAATACCTCAACTCTCAGAGAAAATTGTAGTAATTGAATGCACTTAGCATCTTCTTAACATTGGTGTTTGAAATGAGTAAAAGGGTCCTAATAAGTTATAGGGACAGGGCCATTTTATGCATATATTGAACCTAGCTCTTTTGAGTATTCCAAGAGAACTGACCCTCAGTGCAATTCCAAATAACTCCATAGTATTTCTCTATAGAAGTATAAAACATACAGTTTTTCTTGAGATGATAACATTGGTAAGTGTTAATTGGATTTCTTGTTAGGTGTGGAAGATACAATGTCTGTTGATGACGATGGAGTCGAATCAGAATGTTATTGGTGAGTATGATGTTTGATATTAACAATTCTTTGATTATTAGATGGAATAAAATTTAAATAGACTGGTTTTGATTGAGCATAGTTTTAAGTTAGAATTTTTTTTTTTTAAATAAAGTCAAGGATTGTTAAATGACACTAAATCTGGGTCATGGCAGTGGGGAATATTGTGTTTGAATTTTGAAGTGAGTCTTTTATTATTAGTGACACTCATGTTGTGGGGAAACACTGTGTTCCATTAATAAGAACATTGTTTTTTAAGTGAAAGTGTTATAATAATAGTGTGGCAATGCTGTGGAACATAAATGAAAATACTATATTATTGCTGATAGTAATGATATAGGGGGAATAAGTTGTTGCAGTAATGGGATTTTTGTATTTTTTTTTATTTTAAGGGATACTTATACTTTGGTCAATATTTTGTTACATTAATGGGAGAACTATAGAATTGAGAATTTTGAATTGTGATAGCTAGTAATTGTTCTATGTATAAAGAAGCATTATGTTATGAGGTTATGATTAATTATGTGGGAGAATTTAAAAAAACCTGCCACATTTCTTTGATTGTAAGTAATCCAAGTGGGTAGGAATGGTGATTCAGACTATTTAGGGTAATTAGTTGCCTCTCAGTTAGGACTTGATGTCATTCACGTTTTACATGAAAATTCTAGAAGTTAGAGGATTAAGAAAACCAATCAGTTCTGAATATCTCCTAAAAGCCGCTTATGTGTAATATGGAAAGCAAGTGGTTTTTGTCAATGTTTATCATTGGTTATGCATTGCATTCTTACGAAGAGAAGGAAGTTTGTGTGACAGTCACTTATCAATGACAAATCAAAACAAAGTATTGTTATTATTACATGTAGTGTACAACTTGACATTACAGGAAAGTGTTGTTTTCTTTCAGTGATAAAGGAAGAAATCTTGGGACTGTAGAGCTTCAGTGTGGATTCTGCTATCGGTGGTTCCATCAGGAGTGTATAACCTGCCAGTTAGGGTAATTATTATGTCCCTCCCCTCCCCCTCCTCCCCACAGATGTAAAACATTACTAAAAGCATGCTTGTATCCAAGCTGTATATCCCTATCAGTATTTGTAGCTAATCAAAAAAAGTATGTAGTTTCCATTAAAAATTTTTCGTGTGTTAATTGTTTCCTTTTGACATTAGTATATTTTGGCCATGACTGAAAGGTGTGAGGTATCCGATTCTTTAAAAAAAGGTTATCATGTGTGAGGTATTTAGGATTCACCATGTATGTCTGTTTGTCTGTTATATGGTGAGAAGTAAACAGGATTAGCATTGTCTGTCTGTGTGTCTGTCCTATAGTGGGAAGTGTACAGAGTTCATCATGTCTGTTTGCCCATCCTATGTGGAAAGTATTTAAGGTTTCATGTGTGTCTGTTAGTAAATTCTTTTGCAAGCAGTGTTCACCATGTTGTCTGAGAGAGAGAGAGAGAGAAGGGGGGGTCAATAGGTGAGTTTTAGATTTATTATTATACCCCCCCCCCCCCCGCAAACAAAGTTTGGTGGGGGTATATAGGAATCACCTTGTCCGTCCATCCGTCTGTCTAGCTGTCTACCTGTCCGTCTGTCCGTCTGTCTGTGCAAACATGTCTGGTACATATCTTTCTTATGGAGGGACATTAGAATCTACTACTCCACACAAAGATTGTCATGACCTCGACCCAAGGTCATTTGGGGAACTTCAAGGTCACTGGAAGAAAAATTTCATAATTTGTGTCCAGTCCATATCTTTCTTATGGATAAACTTGGTAGGTTCTCATTTCACACAAAGATTGCTCATGACCCAAGGTTGTGTCATGACCTTGACCCAAGGTCATTTTTGGAAGTTCAAGGTCACTGGAAGAAAAAATTCATAATTCGTGTCTGATCCACATCTTTTTTATGGATAAACTTGGTAGGTTCTCATTTCACACAAAGATTGCCCATGACCCAAGGGTGTGTCATGACCTTGACCCAAGGTCATTTGTGGAAGTTCAAGGTCACTGGAAGAAAAATTTCATAATTCGTGTCCGGTCCATATCTTTCTTATGGGTAAACTTGGTAGGTTGTCATTTCACACAAAGATTGCCCATGACCTAAGGGTGTGTCATGATCTTGACCCAAGGTCATTTGGGGAAGTTCAAGGTCACTGGAAGAAAAATTTCATAATTTGTGTCCGGTCCATATATTTCTTATGGATAATTTGGTAGGTTCTCATTTCACACAAAGATTGCCCATGACCCAAGGGTGTGTCATGTCCTTGACCCAAGGTCATTTGGGGAAGTTCAAGGTCACTGGAAGTAAAATTCATAATTTGTGTCCGGTCCATATCTTTCTTATGGATAAACTTGGTAGGTTCTCATTCAACATAAAGATTTCCCATGACCCAGGGGTTTTTCATGACCTTGACCAAAGGTCATTTGGGGAAGTTCGAGGTCACTGGAAGAAAAATTTCATAATTCGAGTCCGGTCCCTATCTTTCTTATGGATAAACTTGGTAGGTTCTCATTTCACACAAAGATTGCCCATGACCCAAGGGTGTGTCATGACCTTGACCCAAGGTCATTTTGGGAATTTCAAAGTCACTGGAAGAAAAATTTCATAATTCATGTGTAATACATATCTTTATTATGGAAAAACTTACTTCTGAAAAACCCAGCGGGGGGTATTTTGTCCCGTTTGGACAGTTCTAGTTTATAAGTCTAGTTTAGTAAGGTTCAAAATGAACATGATAGTGATGATAATAAAATTCATCTTTTATTTCAGAACAGCCATACCTTTTATGACAAATTACCAGTTCACCTGTAGAGGTTGCAGTCCTACTAGCTTAGAAAATTTCTCAAAGAAAGTATCAAGTAAGTTATATAATATGTAAATAGGAATATGTTTACTTCAAATTTTTCATCAAGCTTTACTTGCTTTTCAATTATAAAAGATTTGTAAGATAAGAAAACACTGTTGGTGTACATGTATGTATTATCAGATTTCAACATTTCATAGAAACAATATGAGGCTTGAGTATCACAAGTTACCTAACGATACAATACATATCACGATATGGTCACGCAATACAACATGTAATATAATACATGTGAACAATTAAATTACCTTATAGCTTTACATTTTCTTCCTTTCTAACCTTCACAGTTATAGACTAGATGCTGTCATGAGACAGTAATACCCGCACTAAGGTGTTTGCCTCTAAATACACGCTCCTACATATTGGGCGACTTTCCAAGGAAATAGTCAAAATAATTCTATAATTTACATGTATTAATCAAATTGATTATGAAATTCTCAGACCCTGTGACCTATAACTCAGAACGTCTTATATTTATTTTACACATGCTTAATTCATTATATACCAGTCTGAATTTTATTAATGATGTAAATTCATGCACGGATCTGTAAAGGGGGGGGAGGGGGGTCAGGACCCCCCCCCCCCCCCCTGAAATTTACAAGGTTAAAATTGTATACACTAAAACAAGGAAAAAGTTACAATGGACCCCCCTTGGAAAATGCAGACCCCCCCCCCCCCTGGTAAACACGAATATGTGTAAAATAGTTATGAAAAGTTAAACATTTGCGGCAATAGAAGTCACCACTACCCCCACCCACTTCCACGATATAGGTTTTTGACGTTAGGGTGAGATTTACTTTAGGTTTTTTTTTTAATTGTCAATTTTTGGGATAGGATTTTTTTTTGACTGAGGTGGATCCCCCCCCCCTGGAAAAAAATTCGGGATCCGCGTCTGAAATTAGATTTTGATATATGTTTTGCTCATAATAGGACCTTTTTAAATTTACTAACCCCCCCCCCCCCCCCCCATCGACACCACAATCACACAGCACATACTTTTTGGAATAGGCTAGATGGAAAGGGTTTGTTAAAATTTAATATCGTTTGTAATGAATTAATTTAAAATTTGTTCTTGAACTATACATGTGAACATGTAAATTTCTACATTACATCACGTTGCGTCACCCATTATGATATTTATAGATTAAACACCATTTGGCACACCTCGGCCGATTCCCACTTCATCTGATAAGGTGACGGAATCGACGAAAGTTCGCCAAAATGACACATGGTTGCAGTCTGGTGTGCATTGGATTAATTCATTTTGTGTTATAATTGGATTTATATTTCATGAAGTTTACGAGACACAGGGGGTCGGTAAGTAGAAGTCAACGATTAGGTTAAAGTTTAAAAAGGGTCAAAGATCATCCCATGCCACACTAGACGAATTTCATATTGTGAAGTTATCTCCCGTTGTCGATGTGACACTGCCAATACTGGTGCGGATCCAGAATTTTTTTTCGGGAGTAGGGAGGGGGGTTCACATCTCAGTCAAAAAATTCCAGCCCAGAATTTCGTGACAAGCAGGAGAAAAAAAAATGAAAACAAATAAACAAATAAAAAAACAATGATAGTGAGGTCAATGTTTTCTAAGTTTATAGGGAGAGGATGTCAAGAGTCATTTTTTACTTGCTACAGTATATAGTCTTGTTTAAATAACAAAGCAAATGCCAGATGGGGGGGAGGGGGGAGGGGGATTCCAATCTTCCTACACACTTCCTGTCCCTGAAATAACAATCTATTTTGTAATTCCAGTTTAATAGTATATTTTTTTCCATTTGACTTATTATTATACATATTTTGTTTCTTGTGTTTATAGTATGTCTGTCTATAAGTCTGCAAAAATTAAATCCTAGCTAGCTTGCCCATAAGTTTTAAGTGGGATGGGCTATACATATAGCTTCCACATTTTATAAGTTTATTTCTTGTGACAATTTAATAAGACCTTTTATTTGGGTAACATTAATTTTTACCTCTGATCGCTTGACATGGGATACACATTTTTACAAGAAAAATACCAAACTTTAAACTCTGCCTAATTTTTGATCAGTAGGTGCTAGGGCTTTCATACTTATCATGACATATTGTATTCATTTTGAACTGTCAACAGGTATAAATATGTTTGACCTTGACCCTAGAGTTTGAACCACTTAAAAAAAAATTAACCTTGGCAATTAACTTTTGAACAGGAATTACTAGAGATTTCTTTATTTAACATGTGCATTCCTTGTGACAAGACTTTCTTCTGATACTAACAATTTGAACCCTTGACCCTTGAGTTTGACATATATTTGAGAAACTTCAACCTTCGCCATAGGCTTCCATACTGGGACATCAGTGTTTCACAAACACATCTTATCTTCATTATTATTTGGTGGTGTCTCCATATGAGGGAAGATGTATTCACAACAAACAAACAAATTACTAAAGAAAATATAAAACATAAATATGTTGGTCATGCATATCTCTGCAGAAAAAAAACAGCTTTTCAAATACTCCAACCATATTGTAACCCTTTCAAAACACTCATTTGAGCTTTTTTTGTTTCCTTAGCATATAATGTCTGTCTTGACGTGTTGTCCATCTGTTTGTCTGAAATCTTTTTACATTTTTAACTTCTCTAAAACCACTGGGCCAATTTTACCCAATTCATATAGAAATATGTACATTTGTATGTCAGACTCAGTCCATCTGTCTCAAAAAAATTAATCTTGGTTATCACGGTCATATCTACTGAATGAGAAGAGACATTCATATTAAACTTATTATTAGTATATTTACCTGTGAGAATGGCATGGTTTTTTTTTACATGTGACCTAGAAGTTTGACCAACTTGCAAAAAAAATTAAGTTGTTATAAATTCATCATTTTGAAAAAGAAAAGTTAGGGCATTCATATCATAATGCATGTTTATTATTACCTGTGATAAGACCTTTCCAAATACTTTTACACTGTGACCTTGACCTTGAAGCAATCAAGCCTAACCTACTTTTCAAAAATGTTGCATTTGCTTATAACTTTTGATTGAGATGAGATATGACTCTCACATTTTGACATGTACATAAATTACTCATAAGAATTCAAGGTGTTTCCCAGCATGCAATGTTTTTTTTATGCGCCCGAATTTTTTCGGGGCGCATATTGTTTTTGTCCTGTCTGTTTGTCTGTTTTATCTGTTTGTCTGTTGTCAAGTTTAACCTTGGCCAAAACTTTTGAACCGTAAGAGATAGAGACTCCATATTTGGTATGCATACTCCTCTAACAAAGTTCTTTCAAATGACATCAAGGTCAATGACCTTGTGACCTTGACCTTGAGCATATTTTTATATGCTAAAAATAGGTTTTTCAAGTGTTGATCATAACTTTTGAACCATAAGAGATAGGGACTTCATATTTGGCATGCATACTTCACTAAAAAGGTTCTTTAAAACAACACCAAGGTCAATGACCATGTGACCTTGACTGTGACCTTTATGCTAAAAATGGCTTTTTTCCACTTTTTGTCGTAACCTTTGAACCATAGGAGATAGAGACTTCATATTTGGTATGCATACTGCACTGATAAAGTTCCTTCAAATGACATGAAGGTCAATGACCTTGTGACCTTGACTGTGACCTATATGCTAAAAATAGCTTTTTCCACTTTTTGCCATAACTTTTGAACCATAAGAGATAGGGACTTCATATTTAGTATGCATACTCCACTAATAAAGTTCTTTCAATAAACACCAAGGCCAATGACCATGTGATCTTTACTGTGACCTTTATACTGAAAATAGCTTTTTCTACTTTTTACCATAACTTTTGAACCATAGGAGATAACAACTTCATATTTAGTATGCATACCCCACTAACTAAGTTCTTACAAACAACACCAAGGTCAATGACCTTGTGACCTTGACTGTGACCTATATGCTAAAAATAGCTTTTTCGTACTTTGTTGACATGGGGCGCATAGTATTTCACAAACACATCTTGTTACCCCTTGACGTTGATGTTTTACATAATTTTCAAAATATTTAACCCTCCTAAAAGATTATTAGGCTTCTGAGTAACATTAAGGAAGACTTCAAGTAAGACAGGGCTTTTTGCACAAAAAACGTCATTTTCCGACCCACATTTGACCCCCCGGGGCAAAATCTAACTTCCAAAACCTTACTGCATATCTACCTGACACCACCAACCATCTCCCAAAAGATGATTAGACTGCTGAGTAAAATGTAAGAGGAGTTCAGGGAAAACAGGGCTCTTTGTATGAAAAACATAATTTTTCAACCCCCATTTGACCCCCCTGGGCAACATCAAAATTCCAAAACCTTACTGCACATCTACCTGACACCACCAACCATCTCCCAAAAGATGATTAGGCTGCTGAGTAAAATGTAAGAGGAGTTCAGGGAAAACAGGGCTCTTTGTATGAAAAACGTCATTTTTCGACCCCCATTTGATCCCCCAGGGCAAAATCAAAATTCCGAAACCTTACTGCACATCTACATGACACCCCCAACCATCTCCCAAAGGATGATTAAGCTACTGTGAAAAATGTAGGAGGAGTTCAGGGAAGAAGGGGCTTTTTGTATAAAAAACGTCATTTTTCGACCCCCATTTGATCCCCCGGGGCAAAATCAAAATTCCGAAACCTTACTGCACATCTACATGACACCACTAATCATCCCACAAAAGATGATTAGGCTGCTAAGTAAAATGTAAGAGGAGTTCAGGGAAGATGGGGCTTTTTGCATAAAAAACGTCATTTTTCGACCCCCATTTGATCCCCCGGGGCAAAATCAAAATTCCGAAACCTTACTGCACATCTACATGACACCCCCAACCATCTCCCAAAGGATGATTAAGCTACTGTGAAAAATGTAGGAGGAGTTCAGGGAAGAAGGGGCTTTTTGTATAAAAAACATCATTTTTTGACCCCCATTTGATCCCCCGGGGCAAAATCAAAATTCCGAAACCTTACTGCACATTTACATGACACCCCCAACCATCTCCCAAAGGATGATTAAGCTACTGTGAAAAATGTAGGAGGAGTTCAGGGAAGAAGGGGCTTTTTGTATAAAAAACGTCATTTTTCGACCCCTATTTAATCCCCCGGGGCAACATCAAAATTCCGAAACCTTACTGCACATCTACATGACACCACTAATCATCCCACAAAAGATGATTAGGCTGCTAAGTAAAATGTAAGAGGAGTTCAGGGAAGATGGGGCTGTTTGCATAAAAAAACGTCATTTTTTGACCCCCATTTGATCCCCTAGGGCAAAATCAAAATTCCGAAACCTTACTGCACATCTACATGACACCCCCAACCATCTCCCAAAGGATGATTAAGCTACTGTGAAAAATGTAGGAGGAGTTCAGGGAAGAAGAGGCTTTTTGTATAAAAAACGTCATTTTTCGACCCCCATTTGATCCCCCGGGGCAAAATCAAAATTCCGAAACCTTACTGCACATCTACATGACACCACCAACCATCTCCCAAAGGATGATTAAGCTACTGTGAAAAATGTAGGAGGAGTTCAGGGAAGAAAAGTGTGACAGACGGACGGACGGACGGACGGACATGAGTAACAACAATATACCCGAACTTTCTTTCGAAAGTGCGGGTATAAAAATATGAAAAGAATATGTTGAGACCCCTAACCAAAGTTATTTATTGGTAGACTTAAAGTCTTGGCATTGTATTTTTTTAGTTGCTACCTTATTTTCAATCACTTTGTAACATTAAAACTTCCAGTTTGTTTGTAGAATTTTCAAATAAGATTGAAAATTAACTTGTACTGTATCACAATACATATGTGGTGATAGGATATGCGTACCGTGAGCCCTTGGGATCAGTACAATAGATGTATCACTGTATTGTTACGTTATACCTTTAAAATACTGTAGATCACTTAATTTTCGCGACACCTTATTTTCGCGAGTGAGTCATTGACTCTTTATAAGCGAGACATAATTTTCATGAATTGTTAATATCTCTCTATATAATCTTAAGGAATACTATTATATGCGAGAATGAAGTTTTCGCGTAATTACGTGAAAATAAAGTTCTCGCGAATAAAAAGTGATTTACAGTATGTCATAGTTCATTTTGTTTTACAGGTTTTTCCCAGATCTGTTTTACTGCCATTGCTAATCTTGTTCGTGAATCCCAATTCAGCGGGGAAAACAGACTCATGTTCTCCAGAGACAGGGTAAAAGCAGTTAAACTCCAGATACAGTCAAACCTAATTATTCCAAACTCCATATACTTTTAATAGTACTTTATACAATCAAATCTAACTATTCCAAACTCCAGATACTCTAAATACAGTCAAACCTATCTATTCCAAACTCCATATACTCTAAATACAGTCAAACCTAATTATTCCAAACTCCATATACTTTTAATAGTACTTTATACAATCAAATCTAACTATTCCAAACTCCAGATACTCTATATACAGTCAAACCTATCTATTCCAAACTCCATATACTCTAAATACAGTCAAACCTAATTATTCCAAACTCCATATACTGTTAATAGTACTTTATACAATCTAATCTAGTTATTCCAAATCCAACATCTGTAAATTCCAAACTCAAGTAACTGTAAATACTGTCATACCTAGTTATTCCAAATTCAAGTAACTGTAAATACTGTCATACCTAGCTATTCCAAACTCCATATAAATAAATACAGTCGAACTTAGTTACTGTTAACTTCATATACTGTAAATACAATCAAACTTAATTATTTCAAACTCCATATATTGTAAATACAGTGACACTTAACTATTCCAAAATCCAGATTCTGTAAATCCATTGAAACTTAGCTATCTTAAACTCCAAAATCTGTAAAAACAGTCAAACTGAGCTATCTCAAACAGGATAAAGTGCATTAAACTGTCTAATTTAGATATCTCAAACCCCGATGCTACACAGATAATTGAAATTGCATGTCATTTTGAATTTTATTCCTAAGCAAATTAGATTTAGATTATAATTCAATGTGTTACATCAATTTCTGTATTCTTTACTGTATTAGTTTTATTAATTTCATTTCAGGAGATAATTCCTTTTATTGACAAACAATGGGAAAATCTGACCACTCAGAGCAGGCGTACTAAACAAACATGGCACTCCACGGTCGCCAAAACTCTGGTAAGCTTCTAGTAATACTACCAACAGACATATGGTAATATTTTAAAACTGGGTAAAAAGTAAAAATAAAAAGTCTGATTGTGTTGTATTGTTCTATTGTGATATATTTTCCAGTCTAAGGAGACAGAGCTGTACACCTATAAAGAAGAAGTGTTGGGAGATCCCCATTTTGGCCTGACGGAGCCAGTAAGTGATTTTGTTTCCATCTTTTTACTTTTAGCTCACCTGAGCTGAAGGCTGAAAAGAGCTTTTTTGATCCAATTTTGTCCATTGTCTTTAATTGGCATCATTGTCAATGTTGTTTACTAAATTCAAGAAAATTCAAGGAAGATTCAATATTGATGAATCCTCAGTGAATTGGGATATTAGGGCTAAATTCTTGGTCTCTTAGACCAGAAAGGGATTGTAATTTTGTATGGGTTTATTTTATGACTTTTTTAGAGTAGCAGGATGACAATAAATCAAACTGAGTTGCAAATACTCCTTATCATGATGATCTAAGTTTAATGGAATCATGGATACTTGAGATAGAAATTGGGGGTCACATTAAAAAAAAATACAGATATATAGGGGATTGACATTTAGAGTCTTCTTGCCCTGAGCTGCAAGCATATTTATTCCCATTTACTTTTAAATATACCAAAAAAAACTGTACCGATTCTTCATTATACCCCCCGCAAACGAAGTTTGGGGGGGGGGGGTATTATTAGTTACATAGTCTTTTAGTGACAGGGTATGGGATGATACCTGGTTAGTGAATTTCATACCTGGCGAGGTGGAGCCGAGTCAGGTATGAAATTTACTAACCAGGTATCATCCCATACCCTGTCACTAAAAGACTATGTAACGAATTTACCCCACCGATGAAACATTTACGTTTTATCTATACTTTATAAATGGTTTTCTCTGCTAAATGCTTCATCACGCTTATACTGTGCCTATTATGATGTCACGTTTGTGTTTGTGACGTAATACATGGACCGGGTATAAATTTACAACTGACCGGGTATAGATTTACAACTGACCGGGTATAAGTAATCCACCGCCTTCACGTGACAGACTTCAACTAATCGTAAGCCAGGATTTCACGGAAAAATCGACAGAGGTGGGGTAAATAGG